ACACACACACACACACACAAACATACACACACACAGACAGGGTCGTTGCAATATGCGTTTTTGTAATTTGCATACAGGCAAAAACGCATAGCGAGAGGAATTTTGAAAACCGCACCGAACATTAAAATCAAGGGATAAGATTTGATTTTTTTGAGGAGAAAACAAACGGGGAGCAAGAGTCTCATATATTCATACGTTGCAGCACTACATTATGCAGTGATTGGTTACCAGAAACACAAGGGTACGTAGGAATGCGTCAAAAAAACGTGATAACTTTTCGAGCTGCTTACAAAAATTTCCGCAAAAAAAATCTACAGTCATGACTTTGTTGCAAAAAATCAGAAATAATTCCAACTGAAAAAAACGTGAGAATGTGAAGACGAACACCAACTAGTTCGGGAATGCTGCTTCTGCGTGATTTCTTTTGAGGTCTAGTTTTGATCAGTTCTTCTTCCTCATTATCATTTATCAGCTCGTGTGGCTGCTCCGCTTGATCCTGCTGGACAGTACTGGTTGTGTTCGCCACCTGAGATAAAAAACTAATTTAAAAACAGACTGAATATCAAGACTAGGTGCTATGAATCTCCTCCAAAAGTTCGAACTTCCTGGCTCTTCTGGTACGCATGCCGTACGTGAAGCCCAAACGTAATAAGAAGCTGAAATTGCAATCTTTGGAAAATAAGCATATATACTTTAATATACTCCCTAAAAATATTTTATGACTTTACGCAGGCACTTACAAATGGTTTAAGTGTCTCCGCTGACAATAACCTCCCACCAGCAGTGTTCTTCAGAAGCAGACTGATAGCACTTCGTCTTTTTGGCACATGCCTGTACCAGTTTACCATCAAGATGAATGAACGAACCATAAAAAAATTAACTGTTGTAGTGGGAGAGTGGAGTGCTCGTCCATTTAAGATCAGCACTACTTGCCACTGCACAGCGCCCGCAGCGAAGAAAAAAGAAAGCCTTTATATTTTAGAGGTCTCCGTGGGAAATAGGACAGTCTGAAGCGGCTCAGGTTGAAGAACAAGGCCTTCGTTGGCTTTGGCTTGATGCTGTTAGATACAAATATTAACACATATAACCTGATTGAGTTGTAGCATGGAAGACAAATTGTGTTGTTGGCTGAGAAGGGGTCGCAGTTGCGCAATTAACGGTACGTCCTTCTGCAAAGATCCAAGAAAATATTTTAAAAAATGCAGGATTTCACAAAACCAGAAAAACCAGATATGATTTATGAACATTTTTAAGCAAAATATTTTCTATTCTGAAAACCGGAAAATTAAAAATTCTCAGCTCAAGAGGCAATTGCCTTAGCTGCTTTTCCTACTAGAGTAAAAGTCGTGTGCGCGAAAGTTTGATTCCTTCACTGAGAAGACCACTTAAATGAACTGATGTTACTGAAAAGCAAGGAAATGGAATCATCGCTTTTTTCTTCCCTCATCCTTTGCTCATTTATTCTTGACCTCTGTACTAATCCTCGTCTTCCCTCCGTCTTTACTTCTGTTTCCTCCCAACTCGCTGCGTGAGGGAACTGTATGTGCTGGCGCGTTCCGTTAAATTTGTGACTGTGATTAGCTGGTAAGCGGATAGCAAATTGCACTATAGTGATAAAATTCGT